AAATACTCATATTAAACTTATTTGAAAAAAAAAACTCTGCCTAATCAAAAAGTTTGTTTAAATAAAAACAGAATTAAGGAACAAATGTACTATAACAATAGGGGCCAATTATTGGAAACATTTGATTTATTGTAGAATATCTAATGTATCTTGACTGTTGAAATAGCCTTGTTCCTTACTAAACAGAATTCTAGTCTACTGCATGTATTTTTTTTTAGTTAAGTAGTAGGTAGTTTAGTTATTTATTCAAAATTATATTTTGAGCAGATGTGCTTTCCGATTTATTTAAATTTACTATTTTATTTTCGCCATTTTGGGTCAAAATGTTTATAAATATTATATATCATATATTACTATATATGTATATATAAATACATATACTACATACATTATTGCTTGTTATAAGCAATTTTATTTTCAATGTATTTCATATTTGTACCAAATATCAGCAATATTTGACGTATGAAACAAGTTTTTAAATAAAATGGGATATCAAAATGAAGGGTTTTTACTTACACAATCATACAAATCAAATGATACCTCGTATGTCAAGTCATTCTGGCTGTAGGACGTGCCAAAGAAACGGAGATACATACATACATACACTCGAAAAACGTTACCCTCCGCAGTCAAATAAAAAGTAGATTTCGCCATCTTGGATCACAAAATTACTGTCGTATTCGTAATCAGCACTCTTGAAAACTATGAATAATACAAATATTATGATTGGTTTTATTAAAAAAGGCGATTCCGATATCAATACACCTTTTTCTTATTTTAATGGACTATATTATTGTTGTATCCTAATGCAGGAGGTTGTTTTTTTTTTAAATAATTACGGTTTTGCATAAAATGCTGACGTAATTTTTGAAGTGTGCGTTTAAAGCAACAACACGTTCGCGTTTATGTGAGTTTGCATATTTTCGTTAGTGTGCTATACGTGTGCACCCGCGCCAAAAATGGTGAAAAATATTGTTCGGCGAGCGAACGGTATGGCATCTCCATTGGTATATGCTCTAAGCCCGGCGCACAAACCACTCGGCCACGGAGGTCGTGTTTAATGCGAATCTTTCAAACAAGAACATAGATAGGTAGATATTCATTAGCATGAATGCATTAAATTTTTTGTAAAAAGTTGCTTTTCATGATATTTATGAGTATTAAAAGTTGGTCTTTCCAACTAACCAGTTGAAGTTTCCTAGCTGCACCTTGCTCGTTTTTTAGGGTTCCGTACCCTAAACGGTAAAAATGAAACCTTTCTGTCGTCTGTCCATCACGGGTCTCTAGATCGTAAACAGAGTGCGTTACAGAACTAAAATGGGTATTTTTATGTAAAATGCTTGTCCAAAGCCGAATATTTAGTTAAAAATTCAATTTTATTATTTTTATGGGGGATCCCATACATGAAAAGAAGACGAAAAATAAACTTTTTAACACCAGCCTGTAGCAAATCATTATCTAGAGCTCGAGCGTTGACAAAAACAAAGAAATAGGGGACTGCTAAAGTTGTCATATTTAGACCATATTTTGTTATGGGGTCTATCCCAAATTTGAAATTTTGGTATTTGATTTCCCATATGCTGTATTTAAACATTTAAACAACAAATACCGAAAACGCCGATTTATGATTTACAGGGGTTTCCAATAGGTACATACAAGGTATCGTTGACACGTCACTCATATTGGATTGTCTGTTGGCGACAACAACAACAACAATTAAATAGTATTTAATATCGTTGGTTGGCGAATATGTTTTGTTAGTTAAGTTATTAAAAGTTCGGCATTTATTAAGATGAGTTAACAGTTGAGAAATGCCTTAATAGTTATTATGCAACTGTTGAAGGTATTATGAGGGGTATTAAAACACGAATGTGGGTTTATCTCATGGGTGTTATACAGGCAGTCCTCGACTTACGTCGTTTCAAGTTACGTCGAACAATGTTTTGACACTATTCCTCAAGCATACGTCAATTGTTTCGATTTCCGGCATAGGAGAATTCACTTGCCGAGAGGCCAATGTCCGTGGGGCCGGCGTTCGTGGGGATGTCTCGAAAAAATGTTATTATGAAATTTATAAAAAAATACATTACAACACCCAAACGGGTTTTATGGTTTATTTCTAATTATGACGTTGGATATATTGATGTTGACAATAAGCTAACTGTTTCAGAATCTTTAATAAAGGTTTTAAATCATTGGTGTAGATAAAAGTATTTAAAAAGTATTATTTAAACGGCAGTTCAATTTGTCAAACGTTTCGTGCATTTGAGAACTCTTTGGTCAAAATAACCGTTCTGAGGAGGAAGACACTATTCGTCACATGTATAGTGAGAAAAAATTAAATTGACTGGATCCTTTAACACCTATTCGTTGTCAATTTATTAACAGAGAAATTCAACGGGTTCCAAATCTCAAGTTTTAAAAAAGCCTCAAAGATCATGTGTTGTTTTATTTTTGTGAAGATAGGTAAAATCACTGGTGAATGCGAACAATAAGAATTGTCAAAGCCTATAGAGTAATATATGACACACGTCCTCAAAAAGATCGAGGTGCCAAAGTGATGCATCATTTGACGTTCCATATTCAAGCTACCAAAGGAAGCCGTGGTGCTCATTTGTATTCCTATTCATGTGATATTTCACACAAAATGTAGGCTTCAAAAAAAGACCAATAAATTTGTTTTTATTTGAATTTAAATATTATTTATTATTATATTTATTAAATTAAATATACCCTGTTTAATATTAATATTTCCAACACTCACACCAATTAGCCTAGCCCCAAAGGTAGCACTGTAAGGCATGTGTTATGGGATACTAGGGTAACGGATAGAATACATATACCGATACATATATAAGTATATTTATGTAGAAATACATATTAAGCATCTATGACTGGAGTACAAATGCTCGTATTCATTACACAAACATCTGCCCCACCGGAATTCGAACTCGGGAGGACCTCGAGTCGGCGACACCATGAAACCCGGCGTATAAACCACTCGGCCACAGGGGTCGTCAAAATATTGATATTCAAAACACTTTATTATGTAAGTTGTGACGAAAACCAGCAAATGATTTTCCTTTCGCCGTATATTGTACGGAACCCTTCGTGGGCGAGTCCGACTCGTACTTTTTTTTTCATATGAAATCAATAAGAAACCCCATAGTCTAACCCCGGGATCCCGGGACATGCTCTAAATTGTATTTCCAGTCTTATGTGTTGTATTAAATATAATAACTCCTACAAAATCTCTTTTATGTAAAATTATTTACAGATAAGATGAGTTTTCGATAGTTAAATAATTATTCGTCACGTCAACACTAATTTAGTCTACGAGGTACAACCATTTTATTTAATTTTAGTTACTCTAATGATGAATCATTTAAATGCGTCATTTAGTAAAGTGGTAATCATTTCATCAATCAATAAATCCTTACTAGAAATTCAGGCAAGACAATGATTTACAAAAAACACACAGCGTTAATAACAAGGTGCACACAAACAAGGAGCCGCCGCCAGCCAAATCACCCTAACCAGAATAGTAAATGAAATTCACTGCACTTCTTCTTCACATTGCACTGTTAAGGCACTGTTACGTTTTAATCACTGCACTTGCGTCACTTTTCCGGGGATTTTCCGCACTGCAATCCAAGAAAATCACTGCAATCCATGTGGCAATCCATCTTGGCCAGTTTAGGGCGGCGGCGGCACCGAAAGTGCGAGACTAAATTTAAAAACATGCCGTCTCCACATGAGTTAGAAATGACACAACGATGCAATGAAGCAACTTTTAGGGTCCCGTCGTCAAGCCTGGAGACAGTGACCGTATCTCTAACACTGTATTACTTACCGGTCGATAGGTAAACTAACAGTGGAGATATACTTTTTAATACAAAGCATTTATCTGCATGTACCATGATCTAAAATATACTGGAAGCAACAATAGGTGACCAAACGTACATAATTTCGAATTACTTTTTTAGATTTTTTTTTGTATATTTTTAAATGGTATTGTATTAATTGGGCTCAAAATAAACAATGATACCATAGGCAAGACTGAGCGAGACAGACGTTATAAGTCGGTATAAAATTGTTCGACTTTAATGTGTTATTTTACATTAAAGTCGAACAATTAGGGATATTCTTAACTCAATACTCCATAATCGTGTACCTCAAGTATTATCACGCATGTGTAGAATTCATTCAAAATATAAACGGAATTTATTATCCACTTGTACCACATAAAATTTCATTTAAACATTGAAATTAATGAAAACACAGTGGTAATGTGCATCTTTAAATTATGTTATAAGCTACGGAAATCTAAAAAAAATCAGATCGGGCCAAAGTTTTGTTTAGAACAAAATATTATTTTTCGATTGCGAACCAATCGAAATACTTATAAAAAACCTTAAAATTAAAAAAAGAACTAAGCAAAGTGTAACTGAAAGTAAAAAAAAAACTCATCTCAAAAAATGCCCAACGTGCCTTCTTTTTCGCTTCACTAAAACAAAACTAAGCAAAATGTCCATCCACATCCATCAGACTAGCCCTATGACGACCACATTGTCAATGTGGTCGTCATAGGGCTAGTCGGATCCGGTAGTCGAAAAACAGTCGTCTTTTTTTTAATATTAAAAAAAAATTATACCAATAGTAATAACTGTCATCTGTTAGTGTAATGTCAAATTTCGACTAGGTTTAAAGTTACTTTTTACACCGATCCCGATTTTTTTTAACATTTTGATGTTTTGTTTTGACTTTTAAAGTATGATTTTACATATTTTTTGACATAATTTGTACTTCGGTACACAATTGCGGAAAAAATCGAAGTTTATCTTTATTAAAATTTAAAGTATGCTGGTTTTGAAATATGTCAGTTTAAAGTCACCCTTTTTCAATATATTTCAAACGAGTGCATATATAATTTCAAATATTTATTGATTTTACACATGATACATACAGATATTTGGGATACTAATATATTTAAAAATAACTTACGATAGATGGTAACGAGACACGGAAGAGGGTGCAGGTGTTGAGTTCACGGAGGACGAAGAACCAGAGTAGCCGGAACCGGCGGGCGACGAACCGGCCGAGGGCGCACCCGCTGCCGATGGTATCGCAGCAGGCTCGTAATATTCGGTGGTGAGAGTTCGTTCGTCCAGGACATGCTCCGCATTATGAGCCTTTGAAGCGGACTTGATATCCATGAAAGCAACAGTTGCGCAAACTCCACTGTTGGTACAACTGCTAGCATTCGCAACCGTGCTTCCACTCTCCGTTCTACCCAATAGCTTGACATTCTGGACTCGGCCATAGCTGCAAAATCGAAAAGAGTTAAATTAATTTTCGGCATCTATTCACTATTATTGTTTGGACACATTAATAAGAAATTAATAACATTTATTCATTCGCACAAAAAATACTGTGATGATGTACAAAAATAGTAAGAGTATTTACAAATGTGTATTACATTAAGCAATAAAATCAACACATCGATGTGAACAATTCAAACTGTTTCTGTTATCCTAGGTATGTAAAGGTATTATTAAACATGTTTATATTATACTAAAATATACGCGTAACAAGAAAGAACAAATAAAGGCCACACAGTCACATGCAAATTATAATAAAAAGTTTAGACTGATAATAATGAAGTAGGATAATGATGTACTAACGTACGACTTGCAGCTCAAATAAAATCTTTGAGGTCACGTTCCGTGATAATTTTCATAGTGCGTGAACTAGATGTAACAAATCATGTATTGATTATTTTACCTGTTCATTACACCGTTGTTAGGACTTCGAAGATTTATAATAGTTATATATGCAACTGTTCTATAATGAGGGGTTCTATAATATAAACACGAATGTGGGTTAGGTGTATCACACGAGTGTTTTAATACCTAATTAAAAGATTCCGAAACCATGGGACGTTCCAAGAACTTAAAATTCATTAAAAGTTTCAGCGCTGTGGAAGTGAAGCGCGCGTGAATCACAATTTGATTTTTTTGAAATTCAAAATACCACGTATCCGGCATTAACAATTGTGACTGTCTGATGTGCAAGCCCTTGACGCGGAAGGGATTTAAAAATCAAAGGAGTGTTATTATGATTCTTGTTTTTATATTGAGTTTGGATTTTTAATGTTGCTTACTGTTTCAGAATATTGAATAACGGTTTATATGATTCATAATATTATGGTTTACTTATTATGAGATAACGTGGGGGCTAATAAAAATAGAATGAATACTAATTCCCAATAATTTATTTACTTTTAGGGTTAATTTTTTTGTAACAAAGTAATATTTCAAAGGTCTAATATGTTTTCTTTTTATTATGATTATTATGTTCAAAATTATAGATACCTCATACACGCTTCTAGTTTGGCAATACGAAAGTCAGGTAATTGCCCGACTTGCATTCAGTCCTGCACACTGTCTAGCCGTGGTTATACACGTCTCTACAACTTTTAAGATTTTCCAGACAAAAGCCCTTTGTGTGTTTTTAGGTAGTACCTACACAAAAAACACGGGAAATACTAGAGGCAAAAAAACGTCAAAGTAGTATATGTGTAGTGTATTATGTGTAGTACCTACACATAATACACGGGAACTACTAGAGGCAAAAAAACGTGTAATTTCATTCGTAAATACTGTTTTAAAGAATTTAATGTAAAAATATTTTTGATTACTTATTTTGACAGGTGCTGACACCGTTGACACGTGGAGGCTAAAGAGCGAGATGTAACTGCTTTATGAATAAGATTGGAAGAGACTACTTCAGTGCGCTCTATTGATTGGCGACTGTCGCCAAGGGCAGTTGGGGCAGTTACCACTTGTGCCATTTTAAAATGCAATAAAGTTGGTGTAGAACCTGTGTTTATTTTAGACGTCATTGGTTATTATAATAATCAAACAAAACAAAATAGGCCAAGTGCGTTTTGAACTAACACACGAAGAGTTCGGTACTGTAACGTCTGTTACGTTACAGCCTCCTTGTTTGGGTAAACTCTTTGTTCATGTAATGCCTACGGCTGGCAGTTATATTAAAAAGTTAATGTCATGATATTAATATTTGCAATTCGGGATCGTCTGTCTTTTGATAGAAGATTCCACATCATATAGACTTCAGGGACCAAACCACACGTTGATAGATAAAATTTAATTAGTATATTTGCCTGAAATCAAATATAAAAATATCAAATCAAAGTTGTTTCAATAAATTGCTTCGCTCCCAGGATCTACCCCTTCAGGGTAGATCGCCGCATGGTGGAGGCGCCGCCGTTTTGTGACGGTCCTCCTGCTGGATGTGTCTGCTAGTTTCACCTTAATAGAAGCCTTATTAGCTAATTTTCTAGAAAAAAATATTCATAAAAGTTCAACAAACAATGCTAAAATTCGCCATAACTGTTCAATTAGGATGAATCCTACAATAAACCCTTAATAAAGAACATGATGGCCGAATTAGGATAACAGCTGATTTAAAATTTTTGATTGGATTATTTTGTGTAGTTGGTTATTATGTTTGAACGTGGTGTGGTGATCATTTTGTGTTGTAGTACAACATACTTGTGTTTGCGGGCTATCATAAGCTCTGCAAGTTTAAAGCCACCATTGAGAATGATACTATCCCTTTTTTGAGTTCCGAACCCAAAGGGTAAAAACGGGACACTAACTACTAAGACTCCACTGTCTGCATCTCGTGAACCGATATAGCGAGACAGCTGGAGTTTTCACAGATGATGTATTTATTTTCTGTTACAATAAATACTAAAAACAGAATTAAATAAATATTTAAGGTTCCCATACAACAAACGTTATTTTTTGTTGATTTTTGCTCTATATTAATTAAGACAAACCTTGAAATATTCACAGAATATTTAGTTGTATATTTACTTTCAAAATGAATAATTAAAATAGATATTTAAGGGGGTCTCCCATTCAACAGACGTTATTTTTCCGTCGTTTTTTGCTCGATATTATAATATAGTGTCTAATGTTGTATGAATATGAAATGGTACGGAATTCTTTGCGTCAAGACATGTCCGAATCGCACTTGGCCAGGTTTTGAAGTTTTGTAACAGAAATGAAAATAACAATATGATCCTTATCAATCAAATTAGACCGGATCTATTTGACAAGAAACAAAAAAACCTTGGCTTTTCTTAAGGGCGTCACGTACAGCATTTTTGCCATTTTGTATAAGGATTCGCCAGAACAACAATAAAATTATGCGACCAGCCCATAGCGAAAGTATCTATAGGAGGTTAATTGAACCTGTATGAATATACAAAGCGATGAAACGTTTAATAGCCCTATTTAAGCATTTTAGGTAATTAACGCTGCAAACTTTGGAATATTAACCTAAAATATTTAATAAAACTTATTTTCATGAATAAGACTGAGCTTATAGGCATAGATTATTTAAAATCAAACCCTATAAAAAGTTGGTTCTCCGAAAAACTCTAGACAAAGTTCTAGAAAATATTGATTGACCGCATATCGACAAAAGTTAATAGTAAGATAAAGTTGATATTTCATTGTTTTACATATTTATTCTCATTTTGCAATTGTCATTAATAACTTAATCTGTAATTGACAGCTACTTATGTAATTATTAACAAAAATTTAAACATGGGTAGACATTTACCACACAGAGTTCTGTAGTTTAATATCTAGCTACGAATAAATACAATTTATATTTGATTAGACTGACTCGTAAAAGACCACGATTACACGTCTGATCTGACCGGACGAAGAGTGCGCAACGGCATGACTGGCGAGAGCGAGTAGGGAGGGCTATAAAAAATGCGCAGTTGCCGCGTTGGTCGGTATCGGGCAAACATGCGCTGTTGCCACTCTGTCAGACTTGTTTTATCTACCTACAAATATGTATGACGACAGAGTACTTTATATTGTTGCAGCAGTTTATAAAATTACATCAAGCGTGAGAGATCACGCCGATGTTTTATTATTTACAAACCTATAAATTATTGTATTTTTTTCTTAGGTTTTCACGCACGTCACTCATTAAAATTAAATAGCTCGACAAAGTAAATAAAAAATCATTATTCCGACCGCATTCCTGCAAAGGATGCTAAACATCAATAAATAAATAATATCAGTGCATCTACACCCGTTGAAACGTTAAATTATTAATTTGATTGATCTTACACGCACACAAAACTTGATTTTTTTAAAAAATACCAGAGCTTATCGTTATATTTGTTATAGTACTTGTATCAATCTTTAAAATAATTCGTTAATTTTATCTGTTATGTTTAAGGTGCTATTCTGGTCTCGTCTGCAGGTTACAGATGCAGGCAGCAGCCCGGCTGCGGATGCAAGACTAGTTATTTGCATTTGTACGGAATACATTTCGAAATCTGCTGTAGCTGGACGTGCTGCCTACAGCCAAGATTAACGGAATAGCACCTTTAGGTACCTACTTCTTATATTTAACCTTCTCCAAAAAAAAATGAGTGTATATAGTTTATATTAATCGCTAGTCACAACGTAAAAATAAGAAGTCCAAAAAACTTATAGATAAATTATATTATTATAATAAAAGTCTTTTCCACTTTTCAGAAAAGATGTTGTACATGTTGATGATGATGATGATGTTGAACATGTAGTTAACTTTTAATCTTCGTTTTTCATTCTCCTAATATCTCATATTTATAAAAGAAAAATGTGTATTTAATCAACGGTACCAAAGAGTGATTAAATCGGTCGATGTCTGCTGCGACGTTGCCGTATTTACTCTTACAACATGGCAGCGCTCGTTCGCTGTACCCGTTTCCGTGTGAAACTCAACTCGACGAACTGCGTCTGTGTGTTTGAGTTGGCAGTGGCAGTCAACAGCGCGTTTCGAGACAAAGCGGGTGGTAGGGTGCGGTGTGAGGGGGAAGGAGATACCGGCTTTGTGACGTCAGCCTACTTTCTGATTATACTTACAATAATACGAGCGGGTATTTTTTTATCCATGTCGCTGATTACATTAAACGTAGATTCATAATTAAGGCACAATTAGAAATATCTAAATATCAACTTGTACCAAGGAATCCTGTTGTTTATTATAATGAAGTTATATTCTTACAATTTCGAGTAATCATTTTATGGAATAGCGTGGGCGATGCCTGGTTTGAATTTATTGTTGGGCATTTATGCTTTGCATTTCAAATTTGTGATTTAAATGATATAGTTTTAATATAACATATAGTTTTATGATATAGTTTTAATATAAAATTATATTAACTCTAATACGGATGAAACTTCAACATCAGTAAACAAGTTCTTCACTTAGATACATAACCACTTTTCGACCAAAAGCAATAATGTGATGTGGGCAGTGCGTTCCGCCCATGCTCCATCATACTATATTGACGTTCAGGCAGAAATATTGACAAATGGTCCGTTATCACTAAAAGTTTAAGAACCGCTGTTCAATACGAATAATTTAAATTTGAAAGTAACTAAGTCTGCTATCCTTTCATTGCTAAACGAATCCAAATTACACATTTTTTAATATGGAAATAAAAAAGAATGAATAATTGCTACTTTAATCGCGAGAATATAATTTGAAGTGTTAATTGTGGATAAAAGTATGGAAAAACCATTACATACTTCACATTTTAGTTCATAAGATTTTTTATAATATTTGTAATAGTTATAAGTCATTAAATACAAATCTCGTAAAAATCTAAGTGTAATAAACTCACCTAAACATTGATATTAAAATCTACTTGAACATTAATTACTATTCGTTTGACAGTAAAATAAATGAGGGTTATTCAGTCAGTAGTATAAGTGACAAAGAATATAATAAATGTATTATAATTACCTGTAACACGTACTTTTTTTTTAAATGACAGGCGTGTGAAGTGATCTTACGTTTAATAAGTTTTATTTTGACACAATATATTCATAATGAAGAAAGTCTTTCTAAGTTTATTAAACTTAATTATCACCAACATAAAACAGTAGTACAAGAATGTATCCAATACTTCAACTTTCACCAGGTAGTTAGGTGCCAATTTTCCATTCATTGTTTTGTATATTTAGGAATAAGCAGCAATCGTTCCAGAACTTTTCGCACCGGCAAACATTCATGACAGCTTGGATAATTCTATTTTTAGAGACAGGCTTAAGAGCGCTTTTAAAAATCTTAAAGATATAATAGGGTATGAAATCTTTTTCACACCGATTATATTGTGCTAGTAAACTTTTCCTTCACGACACCAACGTAAGGTTCGATAGAACAATAGTGGTGGTGAACTTTCTGTTCCCATGGCAGTATTTCAGTGCAAAGGAAACAAATATAGGAGACATTATTTTTAAAAATGCTTTCCATTACGCCTCTGTTTTATATTATGACATTCTCATTAATTATATGATAGTAATTAAGTTTGTTAATATATTCGTTTTAAATGCGATTGTATTCGCCCTTACTGTAAAGTAAATAACATACAACATGTTTTATAATCAGATACGAAGCTGTTATTTTGATACATTATTATGTTTAAAAACATTTATAAATCGTTTTTCTTTTTTAAATCTTAATGTCACAATTTAAGTAGTAAATTATCGGCAGGTCATTAAAATTCAATTTGCGGTTTTTGAGTGATTAAGGCCGGGACTCCACCAAAGCAGAGATGTGTGCGGTGTGCTGTGTGCTATGCGAGAAGAGATGTTTTTAGCTCGGGTGCGAGGCGTTGAGTGCTCAGCTGGGCTCTGCGGGTTGCTGGCGGGCGAGAAGGGGGAGGGTGACACCGCTCACTACACGCCGCTCACATCTCTCGTCTCCACTGCGCGTCGTCTGCGCACAAATCACATCTCCGCTTCCATCGAGCCATACAAATATTACACATCTCCGCACAGCGATCTCCACTGAAGCTGAGCTGAGAGGAGATGTGTGAATAACACAATTCTATTGGTTGTATAAAAAAACATCTCTCCGCTCGTCTCGTCTCCGCTTTGGTGGAGTCCCGGCCTAGGAGCGGACGAGAGCTAAGAGTCATTTGAGAAATAGGTATTTGAAAACACTATTGCTAGTAAAAGAAATTCTTCCCATAGAATAATGAGTACGTGTACTAGGCCTCTATGTTTTGCTTTTTATGTAAATGCTTATTGAATCTCCACACTAAATGTCTTCAGTGGTGTTAATAAATTGTTTTTTTGTTTTTGGCATCTTTGGCTTCTAGTTTCTTTTGAACACAAGTTATCGAAAAAAGGAAGACATAGGAGCATAGGAGGAGTAAAATTATATTGAACGTATGAAAATAATTTCTTAAGTGATAAAAATCAAGGAGGAATCAGTCGAGAACGTTTGTATGGAAAAATCATTACCACCCTCCCCACTTAAGTAACAAACTTCCATATTTATATTATTTTATACCAAGTAGGAATACATCAGGGTGATGTGGCGTCTAATTGGATGATACGTACTAGTGCGGGAGGAGGCGGGGGGTGCGAATAGGGGTTCAATTTGGTCTGTTCGGTCGCAAAGCCCGAACCCGCGGCGGCCTGAGTTGCCCGCGCAGGTCGATAGAGCGATGGATGTAGGTGGGGCTGAGTAATACTGCACGGGGTGGTGTGCTCTAGTCTGGCTCACCCTGTGGACCATCACCAGAAGGCGGAAACTTTCGTATTGCATAACAATGTTACAATACATAACAGCAATGCCACCACAGCCGCATCCCAACCTCACAACACCCACTCACAACTTTTGAAATAACAAGAGAAAATTAAAATTTTAGTGTTTCTTAATTTTTTATTTAAATCTTTTGTTTTTAATGTTTATGTTAAATCAATACTGGCAAGTACAGCGATTACGAGGGGAGGCGGGCAACGTTTTTTCCATACAAATGTGCTCGACTGATCCCTCCTTGATTTTTATCACTAAAGAATTAATTTTATACATAAAATATAATTTTACAGTTTGTATGCTCCTATGTCTTCCTTATTTCGATAACTTGTATTTCAAAGCAACTAGAAGCCCACAAAAATGGTTAAAAATAAATATTTTTTTATCACCACTAAAGACGTCTAGTGTAAAGATTCAATAAGCATTTATAAAAAAGTAAAAAGTAGAGGCTTAGTATAACTTACTTATTATTCTATGGGTGAAATTTCTCTTATATTATCTAATTTTCAAGGAGGAAATTGTCGAGAGCTAAAACTCGAATTTTGAAATTTTGTACGCACTTTTCAGCGTTAACCCGGCGTTCGCACAGTTGGGTCTATTTGACCCGAGCAGTTTTCAATTGAGCGTGTTTCTTAAAATGTTTGTGCGACTTTGCCAAACTTCTCAGTAGCTGGAGCTAATGGTCCCCCCTCCACGTGGGATTCGCCAATCAGTCGTGTTGCGGCCGCAGCGAGTGATAGACACGGCCAAACACGAAAAAGGTAAATATGACCCAACCATACTATTCGTGTCGTAATTTTGCGCCGTTTAAAAAAATGTTTTATTGTTGTTTTATATTGTTTATTTTGTTATTTTTGGCAAATATGTCTGAAATAAATGCGTACATATTACATAACGCCAATTTCTAAAGAAACTTAAGCCTTATACTGGTTCGTGAGCATTTGCGCAATCGTACAGATGTCATTCAGTTGCCAAGACTTATGCGCTTTTGCGCATTTGCTTATTGCTTGCTATGCTTTTGCTTATTCTTTTGAATAAGAGAGTTTTTAGGAGTAGGTACCTGATGAGGAGCCACCTGTGAAGATACTTTATGTAAGAAAGAGATGCCAAGACTGTTCTGCCAAAAAGGATAGAAAACTAATACTTTTCGGAGCTGTATATGCAAATACATCTGCAGTGACCATGCAATGTTGTACTGCCGAGATTGCGCAGATGATAAGGATACTATGACTGACGTATGAGACTGATACAAATAGTATAATATTATTAGTTTTGATTAACATTGATTAACATGTAACAAATTAGTATGTTATAGAAAAAAAAATGTTTTGTTAAAATTTTATTACTTTAAGACAGAGGTTGTCCATTTTGTTAATATTTTGTGACACTTTTATGAAAATGACATTAAAAAGATAGTTTCGTATCATGTTGTGTTTTTTTCTACTCAAAACCTATAACGATAATCGTTTTATACAGATAGTACAACCACAAACCAAATTTATTTTAACTTTTGTAATTATGGCGTTTTCTTATACGGGTCCTCTCGACCCAACCCTACTGTCGTTGATGCATATTTTGACTGTGCTGACGCCGGGTTAATGTTGTCCCTATCGCACGGTGTTTGCAATGCGCAGCAGCAAGTGCATAGTGGGTCACCCTTAAAAGATAGACACAGTAAGTAAAGGACTACCAAAAAAATTTACAGGAGGGCAAAAAAAAATCGTGAATCTATTTTTTGTTATTATGAATCTAAAGCTTAATATGGCTGGCTCTTGAAGATGGTAGATAAGATTACTGTCTACATTTTTGTATATTAAAAGTTTAAAAATACAGTTCGGTGCTCGTATGATGACACTTACTAACATTTTACGTTATTAGATCCAATATTAACCATGACCATTAACATTAGACAGCTCGCCCCTCTATATGCAAATATTAGTTTCCCATACAAACTTCAACTCCTCTTTTCACCCCTTTAAAGGATGATACCAAGGATAAAAACTATTATCCTATGTCCTTTTCCGGAACACAAACTAATCTTTTCACCAAACAATGAAATCGGTGCAGTCAGATGTTTGAGCGCGACGAAGTAACAGACAGACACGCTTTCACGTTCATAATATTTGTATGGGTTTCAGTTTAATTTCAATTTGACCTTAGGGGAACTGAGAATGGCGTCGTATATAGCTAGATATATCCTTTGCCATAGGTCCGTGGAAGGGATATACCAAATCAAGTAAGGCACTTGGCTATGGCTAGGCGTAATTGATTCCTACATCGGCACCGTCTTGGTAGGTACATACAACTAACTAATATGTAGGTGTATTGTATATAACACGTATAGTTTTTTTTGTAACTGGGAATCAGTTACCATATGTAATAAAGGGAAACCGTTTTAGAAACCTTTAAGTCTATTTTAGTAAAATCTATTTTGTTTTGGGATAGTTTTTTTGGTCAAGTATGAGCTTTCCTTAATTGAATAAAATTGACAAAAACAATAATTAATGCGGTTCGACTCTGTTTCATGCAAGGCTCATACGTCATATCATTGAAGCTGAAGAAAAGCATTGGCACAGCAAAATATAAAGGAGAAAGTTGACTAAATTGAACTTCCTACATTAGACTCAAGTACATAAATACCATAAAGTTTTTAAAGATATTTTTTTTCTAGTACAATTTTCTTTAGGTTTCAACACAAATGCCAGCAAAAGCATTAAATAAATTTAAGAAAAAAGATAATAAATGTATAAGTAAATGATTGTTTTATTTTGGTCCTTTTTTAATGAAGTAGGTAGATTCTAAAATAAATAGTAGCGCTCATTGGTAATGGCTTGATGAAAATTATAGTTTTACTAATTAAAGAATAAATCCAGAAGAGCGGTAGACTTGAAAAGTTTTACTACGGCTGGAATAAAGGATACCGTTGCCTTAACTAAAAGTAATATTTTAAAAAACAACGTCAAGAAATTTCCGACTATAACAAAATTAGGGCGATTATCACGAAAAAAATAAAAAACGTCATGTTCAATTCTTGCGCTAAAGTACAAAGACTATCTATGGCCTTTGGCGATCTGAACTTGTTCTCTTATTGGTCTGTGGAACACATATAATATATTAAGTGATTGAAAATGCAATTCTTTGTTGATTGATAAAATCACACCCGTATACAATATTATATAAGGAAAAAGGTGACAAATACAAGTGAAAATAAATAAGTAATTGTTAAAATATAGAACAGAATTTAAGTCGTGCATATTATACTCTTCTCAACAAAAGCGTGCTCTTTGCAAGACCTCGATATTCTAAAAGTTCAACAGAATGTCAACATTCCGTATAAGTACCTTCCTTTACTAAGAAAATTGTGAAAAACAAATACTTCAACACAAAATCTTAACAACGGTGGGTTTCCTTTTGTTATTGTAAAGGTTTGAACATTGATGATTCCACCCCGCATGATGTTAATGAGTTCAGACTCGAAGATAGCTGGTGCAGCAGTTGTCCAACCACACCAGCCGTCTTGACTTTATCTGCCTGCAAGGTTGCAGATGGGAGTCCCACCTCCATCACCACCGTGGTGGGAGGTAACATGTGAGCGGGCAAAGCATTATACCTTGGCAGGTCATAAATTCTGTCACACGTTTAATATAAAATAATTGAAACAAGTTTATTCATTATGTAACCATTTATATACCAAAATGAACTTAACAAAACATAGATTCTTCTGACGATAAAGTTTATTCAAAATGACCTCCGTGATTTTGAATACATGCCTTCAATCTGAGTGACTCCAAATTTGGATGAGGCTTTGAGCACGCCTTTTCCTCCAAGTGTTGCCATATCTTGTAATGTAACGGACTCAAATCTGGACTGGAGGAGGGCCAGTCTTCGTGCCGGATGAAGTCGATTTCACAGTCGATTTTCAGTCTTGTGTGCTCTTCGCTCTATGAGCTGGCGCAGTGCCTGTTATTGAACATGGTATGAGAAACAGTTTCCACAAGGTTCGTCAGGACTGTATTTTGATACACAACTGCATTCGTTTTTACACCTTTCTCACAAAAATGTACCTCTGTTAAGCCCCAATAACAAACTCCCAACCATACCATGAGCGTGGATGGAAAATGTCCTCGTTGGCCACGCGGAATACGGTTGCTCGCTTCTTCACTACTGTGTGCGTACACCTTATCATTTTGTTTGTTGTAGCTCTCTTCTACGTTATTTTTTTTTAATTTAATTAGTTACATTTATAACCTGGTACATATTAATTACAACCTACAATATTTTCCCTATTACTCGGGTAGCAGTTGAGCAGCTGGCTACACGATTTATGACATTCGCTAGCATCCTTGCAAATTGACATAAGTGGCTTCCACACGATACAATTTTACATCCAATTTGATTAGATTGACAATCAAATTGTGTTGTGTGGACGGAAATATGAAATTGAATGTCATTGGATGGTCGGTATCGCCCGATTTGGGATTGCCCAATCAAATTGGGTGGTGTGGACGCTAACTGGCCAATTTTTTAACGTAGTCAATGTGCAAGCGGCGTTCAGAGCGGGTGTGTGCGTTGACTTGTCTTTTGAGAAGAAGATGGAGCAACATGACGATAATATTATGTCTATTCGATCTGAACGGGAAGTAATAGAGGAGATTTTAGATATATGTAAAGACTTGCCATGCCTTTGGGATGTGTCTAACCCATTATATAAAAATAAACAAGCAAGGCATAATTCCTTAGAGATTTTGCGGAATAAGTGGAAAAATATTGATAAAAATATTACTGTTATAATTTTTATTATTTTTAAAGCATGTAACTGCTTGATGTTTAAATCTAAAGAAAATATAACTAGAAAAAATTCCTCGCGGACCAGGCAGTTATTTGTTATTGAAAATAAAAAATCATTTAATTAAATTTATATTCTACTCAATGATATGCGCGCATGCTGGGGTAAAAAAGAAATAATATTATATATATTTTTTTATAATTTTTATTTTTTAAGCATGTACCTAATTGCTTGATGTTTAAATCTAATGAAAATATAACTAGAAAAAAAACCACGCGGACCAGGCAGCAGACGGGACTCGAACCCGCACCCCTCGCAATCCGGGCGAATGCACTGACCAATTATGCTACCGCGGCCCTCACGGACCGCGTCAAAATTCTTCCAGCCATTCTTAAGTTGCAAGGCAGCGCCATCTCATCGCATTAAGGTAACCCACAATGTCAAATGAATACTTTTACAAGTATTAAACATTTGAAAGAAGAAATAGCAATTATAGTTATAATTTTTATTATTTTTAAAGCATGTAACTGCTTGATGTTTAAATCTAAAGAAAATATAACTCAGTTATATTTTAAGGGTTTTTCGAAGGGTGCGGGTTCGAGTCCCGTCTGCTGCCTGGTCCGCGTGGAATTTTTTCTAGTTATATTTTCTTTAAAAATATTACTCTTTAAGTATAACTATATTTAAGTTTATTAATTGAGTCGCTTAAATATAATATAACTACATGTAAGTGCCTCAATTGCTTTCTTTTTAATAACCATTGTTTTGTCCACAGTCTTCTTTTTCTTTTTTTCTCATCTACATTTGTAGTTAGAGCCGAGATTAATCCAATTTTTTGCTTGTTGGTAAGAGGCATCCTAATACAAACAAGTCCGTTCAGCAGAATCAACAAATAAAACTGAAATTGGCGATCTTGTTATGTATGTGTAGACGGACGACCAGATTGTACCCAATTCAATCAGCAATTAGATTGGCAATCAAATTGTGTCGTGTGGACGGGGTAATACACACACTACAATTGAGTAGCTGCATTTACAGAGCTGTTGTTTTTTGCCAGCGCGGTATCTAGTCGAGTGAAGCGAGACCAATCATTCATCTATGACTACAACAACTTCGGCTTACCAGAACCTTCACCGTGTCAGTCATTGACAGCTGCGGTTGAAGTGTTATTCCCGAAAGTTATTTTAAATATTGAGCACTATCCACAGCAAAATGCCAGTTTGTATAGTGAAACTGTGTAAAAATAATACATCAAAAAATAAAAGGGACACTGGGATCACATATCATCAGTTCGATGTAAAATTACATGAAAATTAAACATCATTCAGTGTTGCCAAGTACGCAATATAAAAGTCCCTATGGTTCAGATTTTTATAATATGAATATATTGACCCATTTCATTTGACCTCTTTATGAAATAGAAACTATTAGTGTCAGTGAATCGAAAATATTTGCAAAAAAATACTTGGGTGAAGATAACATTTTTGGAAAATATGTTGAAATTAATTGAATGAAATTGAAGACAGAAGCCCAAGTTCGAGTTTTTGACAGGTTCGTAA